GTTCTTTCCTCACTTGTCCCTAGTGTACTCTACTGTCCTCACCCTTGCAATCAAGGCTCATGTAGTAGTCAACAGCTCACCGTTTAGCTCAAAGTACTTTCACTTTTACAATGTTAAAGTGGTTGCAAAAGCTTCCAGTAAATTTCCACAACATAACATGATTCTCACCTGTCTCACCTTATGTAAACCCCTCATACCAATAGTCAGCCACATTTCAGCTTTGTTCTTCAAGCAAGTGCCTAAACTCGCACTCTTTAAGACTGGAAGCAAGTGGAAGCTGTCTTCTGTAATCGCTATGGTTGTGCTTTGTCCTGCACATTTTCCGTGTTAATTTGGTTATTTTCTCTCATAGTTTGTTACATTATATTATTCATTATGTTGCCACCACTTTAGCCATATTGCCACCGCCATTAGCTCGATGTAAAAACTAAATCCTAAATGTTTCTACCTTTTACTTTTCTTACTTACTTATTGGTGGCAGGGAAGTGCACCCTGGGATGAACTTTACCCCACAGTATGTGGGATAGCCCTCCTTGGCAACAGGTCCGGATTCCTTACTCCAAGATGGTACAACTCAACATCTGACCTATTCTCCTTCCAGCAGGGCACCCCTCATCTGGTCCACCCTCTGTTACACCCTAATGTAGGGTTGCCTCTAGAGACACTGCTACTTTAGGGGGTCCTCCTAGGGACATCGCTACCCTAGGGGGCATAGGCTCTGCCTTCCCTGACACCCAAACTTTGCCAAATTATAGCGATTAATATAATAATTAAATAAAAAATAAATACATGAAAGGAGAACCTGTGTTCTTCCTTCTTTAGTTTCACAACCCTTGCAGGGGTGGGGGATGAGTAATCATTGTTACCCTCAGTTGTCCACGGCCCTCTCCTCGGCATGCGAATATTTTCTTTGGCTCTCCCCTTTTTATGTCACTGACCCTTAAGGACTCATTAATTAGAAACGTACAGGATTCATTGCAAAATGATATCCACAGTGCACCTCGAATCCTATTAATTCACAGTGGCACAATAAGAACCCCAGTCCGGGATATTGTTTTAGATCTATCAGTGATGATCACTGAAGCCTTGCCCAGATTTTCTTCGGGCAGAATTTTGTACCCCACTCTCTTTCCACTTCCTGATATCCAAACATCCACAAAATCGAAAATTAATAACCAGCTAGTAGCCAAATGCTCTATCCCACCTACCGTAATGATTCGATTTAGCGCCCGGGGCGCTTATTTACTTTTGGTACCTCAAGGGAGGGCGCTTATTCGGGACAGGGTGCTTATTTAATTTTTTGAGAAACAACCTAATGTTCAAAACAAAACTTTAATAAATATTAAAATAACTAACAATAATAGAAACCGTAACAGTAACAAATTGTTGAAAGTGCAGTTACTTTTAAAAGAATTGTTCATTTTAGCAGTAACAAATATACATGTACAGTACGGTGAATGTTCATGAGTTTATCTACAGTTACTAACAATAACAGAAACTGAAACAGTAATAAATTGTTGAAAGTTCAGTTGCTTTTTAGCAGTAATAAACGGTATAAATATGTAATAAACGGTATGAGTTTATCAATTCGACGTTGATGACTTCAGTGTCACTTGCGTCAATTATCAAGCATTCTAGTGCCGCATCCTCAAAGTCGGATTCTGTGATCCCGTCTGGCATGCAGGAAAGATGACCGTAAAGAAGCTAAAGAGCACGATGAATACGCAGTTGGGACTTATCTTGAAGCTGATAACAAACTTGTTGGACATGTGCCGATGGAACTTTCCTTCCTTATATTCACATTTCTCAAAGCCCGCAATGAGAACAATGTACAGGTCAAAGTGACTGGATCAAGGAGACTGGAAAACGGACTTGTTGTCCTGGATCCTTTCTGGCCAGAACGACCAGCAGAGCAATCACCACAAAATTTGAAGAAGATATTATTCGTTTGAAGGAATTATTTACTTACATGGACATTACAGTTGAGAAACTCAGACGAAGACAACTGTTTTTGTAATACATTATTACGTATGTCAGCTATTAAAGGAAGATAAACCACATTTGATACGTACTCTGAAGGCGCTGTAATAATATTAGAATAGGGGCGCTTATTAACAAAAACACATTCGAAGGGGGGCCCTTATTTGGAAGGGGGCGCTTATTGGAAGAGGGCGCTAAATCAAATCATTACGGTAATATGCATTTCGCGTCCCGTGTGAATTTGATGACAGGCTCATTAGAAAGCAATATATTGGTTTGTTTGCTACTAATCTGTTAAACACATTTTATGGCAACTCGAACATACTGCTGACCCATCCCCCTAAGTGGCAAACCAGAGAATCCTGCAAGCACATAGTTAACAACTCTCTCCTTTAGCAAGATATACATGCAATGCATTAAAAAATCTTCCTCCTGAAACCTGTCAAGCATCACCTCACTCATTGCTGCCACAGTATACGCAAACAGAACATCCGTCAACCATCACACTAAACGTTAACACTCCCGCCATCGCCAATGAGGACTGAATCTTCGAGCAGTATAATTCTATGCTTTGGTGCATTCAGGAGAAAACGCTGAAATACAGAGAACACAAATTGAATTGCTTCAAAGAATGACCATTCCAGTTACCAAGCCTCCAGTATTCAATGGGAACATCTCAACAGTACATAATGTGGAAAAACACCCTTCACCCCCAGATAGAAGATCAAGTCGTTATCCCCACATACCGACCTCATGGACCTTACTGACTGTTTATGGCTTCGTTTACAAGGATAATTACAGTGATTCTATTTGTCTATGGTTTTGAGCTAATTTTACGGTTTTCAAGGATATTTACGATCACGGAACACGATGGCCTGTTGCTAGGGAAAAACCTTCCAGATGCCATTCTGGGGTCACACGATGACGCCACCAATTAAAATGGCCTCATTTGAAGTATTTTCGAAGCAGGAAAGTCAAAAGCTATTATTGTTGATTTTGTCACAAAGTAAGGGAATTCTTGCCTTGTGATTGGTTAGCTATTAAAAAATAAAACTAGCTTGTGGGTGAGGGAGTAAGTAGCCATTTAGTACTGAAAATAATGGCACTTCTCACTCAGGGACCTACTAAGCAAAACATGCCAACACAATGTTTACAATGTTTTATTACTTAGTTATCGTACATGTTCACGTACGCTACGCTCTACTGATCAAAAACATCTGGCAGTTCCGAAGTCAAGACTTAAAACATACGGAGACAGGGCCTTTTCCGTTGCTGCACCTAAACTCTGGAATGAGCTGCCATTAGATCTTAGAAGTTTAGCTACAATTAATTTATTCAAGAAACACTTAAAGACTGATCTTTTTAAAAAAGCATATAATGTTTAACTTTTTGATAATTTAGAATAGGATTTATTGTGATATTTTTATAAATAAGACTGCTAATAGGTTTTTAATTTATTCATATTTTATTACCAGTGGGATCTTTTTAATTACTTTAATATTATGAATTGTAAAGCGCTTTGGTCAATTAGTGGAGTTAGCGCTATATAAATTATGTTATGTTATGTTATGTTATGTTTTATTGATTTTCCAATAGCAACAGAGGTAATAAACGATTTGAACTTGAAATGCTCCTTGTTTTGATTCAATTCTCGAGAAGAAATGACAAAAAACTGCGTTCACATCCCACTCTTAGATCTAAAAAATGCATTAACACAAAAATATTCCGTAATGCCATAGGCTTTTCAAATTTAAATGAAGGTTTGGGATAATGGCAACCTCCAGCGCCAAAGAAATGCACCAGACTATGTTAGTTCTTTATCCGTAAACCCCTGTTTTGAAACGCATTACTGCTCACTGATTCCATCTTGAATTCCCTAAATTCCAAGCTTTAGTCTGAGTAGATTCCTTGTCGCATTTGCTTTTAATAGGGAGGAAAAATTGTGTTAAAAATCTCGTAAATGTAGCAAGCAGGGCAGACATTCGGGCAAGTGTAACAAAGACAGACAATTTCACCCCTTCTGGGAGACTTCGCGCTATCAAGTTCGGACAGCTGGAAGAGGGAATTTCCTGAAACCAACTAACAGCTTACATCAGATTACGAAAGAAAGAGTACAAGATTTACCGACTTAGAAGGATGCGCAGAAAAAGCAGAAGCAAAACAAATGGAAGCTGGTAAGGCATAATGTTCACTAATACTTTATAAAGCCATGCTTCAACGCAATGTAAAGTGACTGTGTGCAGCATTTTAGAACAGGTGTGACTTCCCTCAGGTCTTTTTCTCAGCATGAGATTAATTTTACTTGAGACCAAAATAAAAATATAAATTTAGCTTTCTACTCTCATTATATTGAAGTTTACGTGTTAAGGTTATTTTTCAAAAGCTTCATTGCTTTCTTTGGTCAGGTGTATTCCCCACTGAAAGGCACTTTGGAAAGAAGAGTATATATGCCCAGTCAGTGTATTATTGCTCACGAGCTGGAAGTGTCTGCAGTAAAAGCATCATTGTCTTGACTGTTGTGTCATTTTATCTAATCAACATGCATTTCCTTAATTGCCCTTAGAACAATTACTTAAAGATGCTCTAGAGAAGGCTAAGAAACACAAAGATGAACTGGAGTTCCTGAAGAAAGAGTATAACATATTTAAGCTTCTGCTTGGTCAAACGCAGCAGGGAAGAGCTAAGCAGACCCAAAATGCAACAACATTTGAGATAATCTCAGTTTTCAAAAGCAGCAACAGATACAGACGTCGGCAGGAAACAAAAGAAATGCTAGAGTACATCCATGGCGGAGATGAAGGGGCCCTTTTTAGTGCATGGGACTTTGTTGCTTCTTTTGCTTCCAAAGAAATCATAGATAAACTGATTTCAAGTTACAAATGGGGGAAGTACTTACAGGAAGTGTTTAAAAAAAGGCTGTAAAGCATTTCAACAATTTCGACAAAGAAACTTTAAAACAAGCAGTAGCCGTGGAGTTCCAAAATTACCTGTCAAGACGCAAGTTTAATTTAGTTTGTAAGATGCAGAGCTCAGTATATGACGCAGAGCAAGAAGTTTGGCTTCCGAGAAACATAAAATGCCTGGATGCAGAAGTAGCCTTGCCAAATGTCAGTGATTTGAAAGTTAATCATTTTATAAAAAGTCTTGATATTGGTCATGTCTGCCAAATATCAAACTATCCTGGAGTATCACAGACAGTCACAGGATTGGTTTTTATGATTCTGGACTTGCATTTGCGATTGCCTCGTTTACACAAACAATTAATTTGGTTTAAAGGCAACAAGTACCACTTTATTTTTCAGTTTTCTGACGACAGGGCTCCAGAGACTAGTAAACTGACAATGTCCATTGGCACATTGACATGCTGGAACTTAGCATCAAGGGTAAGGAGTAGGGAATTCCATTACTTACTCCATTTTCTGAGTGTCTCAGGGAAGCAGTCAGTAATGGAAGACATCAGGAAGCAGCACAACGACGAGATAAGGGTATTGGAGGGGAATATTCTGACTGTTCGTGGTCAGCAGTGTACACTTGAATTTCAACCAAGCGAAGATCAGTCATGGCAAAGCTGGGCTAAAAATGAGCTGAACCAAGCAGCAACGTATCCCTCACCTTATGCTAATGTTCATCAAGGACAGTTGTCTAAGATGGGCAGAACTATAGGGAATGATAGTAACTGTACATGGCAAGTGCCCACGCAAGAAAGACGCCAAGAAGACTTGGGTAAACTTCAAGCCTTCCAAAAGACCTTTCCAAAACATCTTAACCCAACCCAGGGCCACAAAAAAAAAACATTAGGATTCATGGCTAACAATGGCTTTCGCCAGCTTAAGGAACCTAGAATAGGGGAATTTGCCATCTTACAAAGGCCAGAGCCTGTACATAATGAAATAAATGCCTGGCAACACATCCCTAACATGATTTATAAGGAAGCACTCAGAGAAACAATGTGGATTTATTTTTTAGAAGTATTAAGTTCTCCAGTTGACACAACATAAATTGCAAATATTAAGTTGTCTCGTCCTCAGCTCGCCACCCCACATCAGGAAAGAATAGGGGAAAGAGTTAGGCTAGTGAATATTGTAAACAGGCAACCAGAGGTATTTAATGAGAATACACAGGCAGCTTCTGTAACATCTGATTTCTCAGGTAGAAAGCCAGGATGTGGTTTACCATTTGTTGTTTAAAAGCCAAGAAGGCTATTCAGCAGAACACATACCCCGACAATTCATTAAGTTGGTTAACACAACACTTGTATCAAATCATTTACATTTTTTGACAGGTTTGTTGTGTGATTCCTGCCTGAGCGACCAAGTCACGAATGGCTCAAGTGAAATCTGCGGCTGACAATAATGACTGTTTTGAACAGATGGCTCGAAAAGTCTGAACGTATGACAATTTTTTCGCATGGACAGCCCAAGCCATTCAAACAAATGCCCGATGCTTTCAAGCAGCTAATGCAAACCATAAGGAATGCTTTATTGTGACAGGTCAAAAATGGTGGCAAATGTGCATGAAAACATAAGAGTTGCATTGGAGGGATTGCCTGTCACTGAACTAAATGGATGGCCGAATGGTAGAGTAGCTCTAGTTTGGATTGGTGGTGGCGGCAGAACAAACAGTTTGTGGAGAATCTGGTTCAGAAGATACGTGATCACCCAGAGATTACATAGAGACATGTTCCTACACAAGAAAACTGGACTGATCTTGCAAGCAGAGGCGGTGATATTGCGTTTAGTACGCTTTGGGGGAAGGATCTTGAGTGGGTGACAGATAGTGAATGCTGGCCTCCTCAACAAGCTATCCAGCCCTCTGTGGAAAGTAAAGCAGTGCTGAAAGCTACCAAAGAGTTGTGTAAGGTTGTTGTTGATGACACTGATAGACTATGTGGTTCTTGAGAAGTTTGAACTACGTAAAGCTATGACCATTTGCCCTTTGGTTCACGATTTGTGCACAGTTTGTGACATCTTCGACAGAAAGTGAGTGGCAGCATATGTCTTGGGAAAAGAGAGCTCAGCAAAGTTGTCACTTTGAAGATGATCGCCTACAACCTAAGAGGCTAGTGTTTTCTTTAATTTACCAATAAAGATCCGTAATTCAATTCGCCTACTATGGCACAGATCGCTTCAAGAAAAACTGCAGACCAAGCAAAAGGTTTGCATCCTGAAGCTGCCCAGGTATTGAAGAACAATACCTACATGGACGACATTTGTGATTCACTTCATTCACTGTTTGGAATTTGTTAAAGACGTGCTCCTGTTCGATGTAAACCTGCCCAATGACATTACTCTGTTTGAGGGAACAATAATCAGCCAGATTGCTTGAATATTTCATCCCGTTGAATTCCCAGCAGCCTCTTCATTTGCACCAAAATTGGAATGCAGCATTTGTGGCAAGAAGGCTTAGAGTGGGATCAAGAGCTGCCTCCAACAGCACGTGAAGAGTGGGTTTGTATATCGTTTCTGCAACCCATCCACATTCACACCAGGTCACTCCAGTAAGGGCTTAGACCAGCATCATCTCCATCTTCCATTCTCTTGTCTGCCCTTGAGATTGCCATATTCTTCTCATTTCTCTTTATCTTCTTCTCTTATTCAACAATTGTCTCTACTTCTATACTTTTCTTCTCTTGTTTGAACACTTCTCTCTACTTCTGGTACACATCTTTCTCATGTTCATCTCCTCTTCTACTAATGTTCAGTCCACGCTCGCAATCAAAGCCTTCTATGGCACGCACAGACATTGTAGTTCTTTCCTGAGACAGCTCTTGTGTC